CTTCAGGAAAGTCTCCGCTTTCCTTGTAGCTCTGTTTGTGCTTGTTTTCAGACTGGGAAGAGGCAACCCTTGAGCATGCTAACGCCAAGGAGAATAGAGCAGCCTTCTCTGAGGACTGTGGATTACGTTACGTCTCACTCTCTTTATCTTGAATAATCAAGTCACACAAAATGCAGAAGAAATGTGGCTGAGTGGGAACTGAAAGGAAAAGGGGCACTGAATCACGCAGAGTCAAAATAGGCAGACTTGGAGCCCAAAGGAGCTTTTAATTAACGTATGGCCCATAGCGTGCCACCTGATCATTATTCCTGCAGCCTATATTCCTTACCTGCTTATTGGTTAAATCAAGAGTGGTTACTCTGTGTTCCTGGTACAGAATTGTCTATTCCCTGACGATCTACAGTGGAGATAAGGTGTTCTGTCATTGGCTGGATTTTTGTGTCATGCTGCTAAAAATACCTTGTTATGAATACTTCATCCTCTTTTTTTCTCCTCTTTTCCCTTTTGGAGGAAATTGAATGGGTTGTCTGAAAGAGGCAATAATACCTTTTATATTGGAGAAGAGGATGGTTGCATAGCCTCTCACAGCACTGATATGAGACAAAGACTACAGGAGGGGAACCCAGATTCGATAATGAGATTTCCCCACCACACACACATACACAGACACAGACGATATCAGAATGATCAGATGAGGTACTTATTTAGCAGCCTTTCCAATGGATTCCCCTTTATTTCCTCCCATTTAGATGCATGGCCACTATTCAGTCGCATATGGAAAAATGGTTTGCCCCTAAGGCAAATTGGCTGCCTAATTTGCCTAATACCCAAAGCAGGGTGGGCAAATTTTCCACAGCCAATAATGCTGATTGACCCAGCCTATGTTATAAAAAGCCATAGATTGTAACCAGATTGGTACATCTGATGACAGCGTTCGTGCAGTTACTCATTTTGGTTGAAAGCTATTGAGGGAACTGGACATAATAACCGTATACAATTAATGATAAGTAAAGTCACTTTTCCATCAGACACTACATCCACATAGTTTTATTGCCAATAGTGTGGAAACACTTTTGCCATTGCCTTCTTCCAGAATATATTCTTTTATTTTCCAGTCTAACTTACCGGTCTGGGATTCCCTATTGCCCCCCAACCTATCAAGGACGGCTAAGTAATGCCATTTGGCTGGTCAGTTAAGACCAGTGTAGTTTTAATGTCTCTTCTTCCCAAGGCAAATAAAATGGTACAAGGTATCAATTGTACCAGAAGCTTCATTTTCAACACGTTATCACTACTGACAAATCAGGTTAAAGAAAAACTTACTTAGCAGTAATTTCTAAAAATAAACAGAAAGTAACAATCTCAGTCATAATAGGAGCACAGGTACCAGTGTTATTAATAATCTGAACCTGTGGGCAATATATGTAGATGCATGTCTTAACAATGATCTGTTGAGGTCAGTGCATTTTGGAGTCTTGCTCAGGACTGAATCAGGCTTGTTTTAATTGCCATCCTAATGGCAATTAAAGAATAGTCAGTTCTTCAGAGCTATGCATCAAGAGGAGAGGGCAGGGGGGAATGGTTACTAATTACTAGTAAAATAGCAGTCATTGTCCATGAGCAGGATTTACATAGGAAGAGCATATAATTATTATATTACTTACTATTAGTATTATATTTTTATCCCGCCTTTCTGTATAAATAAGTCAAGGCGGCAAACATGCCTAGTACTCCTATATCCTATTTTCCACACAACAACTCTGTGAGGTGGGTTGGGCTGAGAGGCAGTAACCAGCCCAAAGCCACCCAGCTGGCTTTCATGCCTAAGGGGGACCTAGAACTCACCGTCTCCTGGTTTCTAAGCCACCACCTTAACCACCACACCAAACTGCAGAGATGCTACGAAATGCTTCTGCAGTGCGTCATACAGCATAGAATCATTCTCTGACAATAAGGGTTTGCCATATTGTTCCCAGTGGCAGTCATTTGCTACCACTGGAGAAACAGTCCATTAGATACAGTATTGGAGTGGAGTTAAGCCAATTCCATTATTCGCATGATCCTTTCTTCTGTCTGCACTGCTCTCATCCAAGTTGGGGAAGGATGCAGGAAGTAGTTGCAATATATATCCAGAAATACAATATGATGACAGAAGCATAAGCAACACACACACACACACACACAAATTGTCCTGCTGTTCTAGGGATCCTCTGTCTATGTTAAGAACAAAAGTCTCCTACTGACTAAACAGAAGATGATCAGATTCTACATGTTGTTCCCATAGTGGCCAGTCAGATGCCTTTCGAAAGCCTGTAAGCCAGACAGAGGTATATTAGGGCTCAGATATCAAGCAGGTGTTGGTGAGAGTCAGTCTGCCTCTGACACTGAAGGAATTTTAGCTGTTTCTAGCTTTATTTCCTATTACCATGATTTTTTTTCCATTGAAAGCAGTCTAAATTGCCAATTGTCACATCATCGTATGGAATTCTGAAGTTTAACTAGATGCTTTTGAAGAAGGACTTCCTCTTTTCAGTCCTGAATCTGCCACTCTTTAAATTCTTTGCCTGAGCCAAGTCAGAGTATCTCCATGTCCATTTTTCCATGCCATGCATAATTTCAAAATGCCTCTACAGTATTGGGATTCCTTTTCTTTTCCAAGGTAAAAAAATTATTGCAAAGATGTGTTGGGGGGCGATGTCCATACTTGGAATACCACAATTGGGAGTGACCTTCCCTCATGGGTGGCTACTCACTTCAGGGAGCAGGGACACCCACCACACACCTTGACCTTAAATTCACGGGTAGACACAGAGAAATCCAGATAGACAGACAGACAAAAACTTTATTTTCTGTCTTTCTGTCAGATAGTCTGTCCACCAAGATAGTTATCTGACACCACAGTTTGTGCCAGGGGAAGTTTCCTGGCATTTGAATAGCATGACTCAGATGACTCTGGAAAGGGGAATATGCTGCTAGTTATTACCATCAGTGACTCATTCAGTAGAAGAGCTGGATGAATAGAAGAGTTGGATGTGTAAACAGCACCTCTTCAAGAATTTGCAAGATTTATTTCCAGAACATTTAACTTTCACCAGTGAAATTCTCCAGATGTCCTTGGACGAGTTGCATATTGTTGATGTAACTCCCCCATAACAATGTTAAGATAAAATAAAATATGCCTAAGAATGATGCTTTGATTTCCTGGAGGAAAAGGCAGAATGGAAATGTATAATATCAGTCATATCATATCCAGGGGGCAAAGGTTAAAATAAAATTAGTAGACAAGTAAATGTAGAATGGTAATCATCATGCAGGAAAGTGCTAGTCTGGACATCCCAGTTTAATGACCTACACCAGCAAGTTACATTTTATTTAACATAACAAAATCTAGATGGCTCCACTATTGAGGTAGATGTACTTTCTCTCTCTCTGCTTGGGATTTGTATATATATTTTAGTTTTAATTAATCTCTTAATTGATTAAAATATCTTTAATTAATCTTAATTAATGTTGACTTCTTATATTTTTAATTGCTTGTTTTTATATACGTATTGTTTTTATTTAATTATTCTACGAAGCCCACAGCCACTTCTCATGAGATGGGAGGGAGGCTATATAAATTTGATTAATAAATAAATAAATAAAATTTAAAAGAATCCATTGTATTGTTGCCAAACTCAGTTTGCTTAATATCCATGATTTTACAGACTTTTTCATTAGAATTAAGAAATTAAAAGATAATATTAATAATCACAAATCCTAGACCATGTGATGTAATATTCAAAGAAAATTTGAAGTAGCTTCTGCAAAGCCTTTTTGTTCACAATACTCATTTGATTTAAAGCCAGAAGCCCTAGTAAGTTGAATTACTACACATTACAATTCCTCAATCATACCAAGATGCATTTTAAAGCTTAGAGCAATAGTAGCAATTGCATGATAAATTTCATGATAAAAAGTATCCCAGTTCTACCTCTTATGCAGAGTTGGTACTTAGATATTCTGTACCAGGCAAAGCTGTCAAAATCCATCATGTTAACATAGTGCTTGGAGCACAGCTTATAAAGGGGAAAGTGTCTTTTGATAACACTTTCAGGGAAACCCTTTACACCTACTGAATACAATTGAAATTCAGAACAACTTAAAGGTGTTTTGATATCTGTGTACCTAAACTGGCTCTATGCAAATACAGCACCTTGCCGTCATTCTTCTGTTTTTCTTGAACCATGGCATTATAACAACTAGCAGGCTATAATACAAGCTTCATGACCTGTATTAGATTCGTTGGGTTGTAAATTATTTGGGCTTTTTCTAAAGCAGCCTTCCCCCACAGACTGCTTCCAGATGTGTTCGTGGGAATTTTTAGCATTGTTGATCATCACATCTAGATGCCAGCACATTGGAGGAGCATACTATAGGCCAGGAAGGTGCAATTTCATCAGCTCAGGGGCTGCATCAGACTGTGTGTGTGTGTTTGTGCATAAGAAACCAGGACTCTTTTTGGCCATTTCAGGAAATTTAAGGAACGAAATGTGTATCTAAACCTCTGAAAGACTGAAGGAATTTATAGCCAAAAAAAAAGGCGGGGGGTAGATGAAAATGTTGGCCCAGCCATTCTGGTGGGTGCAAGGAACTGCACAAGGAATTCTGGTGGGTCATACCTAAGTCCTTGACTTGTGCTTTCTCCACCTCTACTCTAAAATGTTGCTGAAATTATAGAAACCTATTTCCTATAGATTCTTAACTTTCCTGGCATTTTGGTTGAGTTACATTGCCATCTGGTAAATTGTTATTGGAGACTTTGTTCTGTTTCTTCTTTTTACAGTATGAGAGAAGCTAAATTTGGAAACCTTTAGCAGCTTACATATCCACACTGTTCTTGTTGCTGTTTGTTTAATGTTTATATTCATCTCCCTTTTAGTAAGCTGCCTAGACTTTTTTTTTTCTTGCCTGCTGATGGTAGCAGAAAAATTAATCCAATTATTTTCCCATTTTGACAGAGTTACAGAGGCAAGACAATGTGAAGCCCCAGCAAAAAGACATCCAACTCTATGACACACCTTATGAACCTGAAGGCAACGGTGTGGAATCAGATTCAGAAAGTGCTGTGAGTCAGCGCTTAAGAGAGAGCAAGTTGCCACAAGATGACGACAGGCCTGCAGATGAGTATGACCAGCCGTGGGAATGGAATAAGGTCACCATTCCTGCCTTAGCAGGTGAGATCCTCTGGAGGAAATCATTGCAATTCTGTTTTGTGTCTTGCAGGAGACATTAAAGTATGGAGTGTTGGTGCTGTTTTTGAGTACTGTATAATACTGTAGAAGGATTTTGTGGTATCTGGTGTATATTATTGTGTCTAAGAAAACCAAACAGAAATCTTTGCTGTTCGGAGGCAGCGTGCTTCTGAACAACAGACAAGGGAAATTGTCAAGATTGGGTCATAGCTACAGGGCACTCTGCACAGATTCAGACAATGGAATGTACATTATCCTGCAGAGGACCATTAAAAGCCTTTTCTAGAAGCAGGCATAACCCCGCATCTGAATTCTTATCCCACCTTTGGTTTTATCTGGTAACATGGCTAGGTGTTAGAAGATACTGGGGAATTGTGGTCTATTCAGTTTGTAGTCAGTTTGTCAGTAGCTAGGTTTCATGATGTGACATCTGCACATAATATAGCTGTCTCTTCAACCAAATCTGTCAAACCTTCCGAAGCTGAAAACAGGGGGAAAGAAATCATAGATAGGAATCTGTCAGTGCTATCATGGATGGATTTGTGGTTGCAGGACTGAATTTCATAGGGACAGAACAATCCAGTAACATTTGCTTACTGTATGTTTTATTAGAGCCAAAATAATGATGATTTTCAAGGTCTTAGGCCTGTTCCATGTTCAACTTCACAATTACTAACTTAAATTTTCATAAAAGGTTGGATTTTTGAAGGAGTGACAGTCATGGAGAGAGTTCTTAATTTTCTCTTACCTGAAAGTAAAGCTTTTTGAAAGTGAATTAATCTGACAACCCAAAAGGCAGAGATTATGGTTTAGTATCAGTCATGTATAGGCTCAGATTACAGATACACCTGCTGCACAGTCATTTAGAAGATTATTCAACACACCTTGTTGTGAAGGCCTGATTGATCAGAAGCCCATTATCCAGTATATCTTGAAGCGCATGTAAGATAGGAAATGGGGCTCTATTATATCAGCTGAGAGAAATGGGCACATTAGATGAAATTTCAGGAGCAGTTTTTAGTATTGCTTTTATCACATTGCAAAAGTTACTTTGGCTTTCAGTACTTTGACTCTGATGCTACTCTGTTTGGTGGGGGAATTCCTCTCTCACTGCCATTTTCTATATACATATTTGTATCCAAAACCCCTGATAGATGAATAGATTATAGCAGATAGGTTTGTGCCTTGATGTGCCCAGGCATCTGCTACTAGAGTCTGTCCATACCCTCCCAAAGATGTATCACAGAGCACATTTGCCCTTCCTTACTGTGTCCTTCTGAATTGAATTTGAGTCGTTTTAAAACCCTCATTGCTTTTTAATTTCACATACATTTATTCTCCTACAAAAGCTTAACCAAGCTGACTGGCAGGAGGAATGAACTCCCTTCCTTATTCATGGAGATGCAGACTAGAGCTGTAGATCCTTCTGCTGTCTAAGGGATTGCCTTTCTGTGTATAACAGTATTTCTCAACCTTGGCAACTTTAAGACGAGTGGACTTCAGCTCCCTGAATTCCCCAGCCAGCGATGCTGGCTGGGGAATTCTGAGAGCTGAAGTCTACTCGTCTTAAAGTTGCCAAGGTTGAGAAACACTGGTGTATAATAAGCCTTGAGGAGATGCTACCTCATTTCCTTTCATTTGAAATGAATGCTACAGTAACTCATAAATATATGACCAGATTCTGGAATGATTCCTTATTGTTAATTGAATTCCTGGTACAAGTGTGTTGAGGCAGTTGTTGTTACAGAAAAGATTCCCTAACCAGATTTCTGGGCAGAGGGTTATATTTTGATGTTATGCTTAATTTGGCTGCAATTAATGAGACAACATCTGTTTGTTAGAAATTGTTCTGTAGAAGAGAGCAGAACTTCTAACCTGTGTGAAACTGCATTTGTAGGAGATAAAGAGCAATTTATATCAATGGTGACTTTTTCTGTGCATGTCTGCTAATGCTTTGTGCTGATTTTCTGCTTAACTGAAGATTCTAATTAGCCGTTTTGCTCATCCAGTACATACTAAGAGTAAAGAGGTATTTAGTACTCAGGACTGTAGCCACAAGGAAGAAGCCAAATGCCCTCACGAATATTGTAGATTTCTCCTCTAATTTTTTAAAGATGTCATGGTGTTTTAAGAATGCTCTCATTTTGGGGAGAGAGACATATACTCAATGGGTCTTAAAAGTTTGTGAACCCTTTTGAATTTCCAATGTTTCTGCATAAATTTGACCTAAAACGTGATCTGTTCTCTACACAAGTCCTAAAACTAAATAAAGAGAACCCAGTTAAACAAATGAGTCAAAATATTATGCTTGTTCATGTATTTATTGAGGAAAATTATTCAAAGCTACATATTTGTGTGTGGCAAAATTATGTGAACATTTGTTTTCAGTAACTGGTATGCCCCCCCCTTGGGCAGCAAGAACTGCAGCTAAACCTTTCTGATAACTGTTAATCAATCCTGCACATCAGCTTGGAGGAATTTTAGCCCATTCCTCCTTACAGAACAGCTTCAACTCAGAGATGAGGGTGGGCTTCCTTGCACAAATTGCCCACTTCAGGTCATTCTGCAACATTTCTATAGAATGTTCAGGATTTTGACTTGGCCATTCCAAAACATTAACTTTCTTCTGCTTTAACCATTCTTTGGTGGTATGACTTGTGTGTTTTGGGTCATTGTCCTGCCGCATGACTCACTTTCTCTTGAGTTTCAGTTCATGGACAGATAGCCTGACATTTTCCTGTAGAATTTGTTGGTACAATTCATAATTCCATCAGTGATGGCAAGCCAGCCTGGTCCAGAGGCAGCAAAGCAGGCCCAAACCATGATACTGCCACAACCATGTTTCACAGGTGGAATAAGATTCTTATGCTGGAATGCATTGTTTGTCTTTGCCAAACATAATGCTTTTCATTGAAGCCAGAAAGTTCTATTTTGGTCTCATCCATCTACAAAACGTTCTTCCAATAGCCTTCTGGCTTATCCACATGGTTTTTGCAAACTAGATGGGCAGCAGTGTTCTTTTTGGAGAATAGTTACTTTCTCCTTGCATCCCTGCCATGCACTCCATTATCATTCAGTGTTCTCCTGATGGTGGTGTCCTGAACACTGACATTTGCCAATACAAGAGTGGTCTTTAGTACCTTAGATGTTACCCTGGAGTTCTTTGAGACCTCCTGGGGTATTACACACCTTGCTCTTGGTGTGATTTTGGTTGGTTGACTACTCCTGGGGAGAGTAACTATGGTGTTGAATTGACTCCATTTGTACACAGTGGACAGGTGGAGTCCAAACTCTTTGGAAATAGTTTTGTAACCTTTTCTAGCCTGGTGAGCATCAACTGTTTTTTAGAAGTCCTCAGAAATCTCCTCTCTTTGAGCCATCACACATCCCTGTGTTATGAAGATCAGACTTTGATAGTGAATGCCCAGAATCCTGTTCTTTAAATAAGGCAGGACTTCACACACTCACATCTCATTATCTTCCCATTGATTGAAACACCCGACTGTAACTTCCCCTTCAAATGAACCGTTCATCCTAGAGGTTCACATATTTTTTGCCACACACAAATATGTAGCTTTGAATAATTTTCTTAAAATAAATTGATGAACAGGTATAAAGCGTTTGACTCATTTGTTTAATTGGGTTCTCTTTATTTAAATGTAGGACTTGTGTGGAGAGCAGATCACGTTTTAGGTCATATTGATGCAAAAATGTTGAAAATTCAAAAGGGTTCACAAAATTTTAAGTACCACTGTACTCAATTGCTTAGAATTAAGCCTCTTCCAACCAGTGTTTCAGCAGGACTGTTTGGAAGACTGACAGGTATTCGACATTATTTTTATTATCAATGAAGGCCCAAAACATTTTACTACTTGAAATGACTTCCTAGCTGTCATCACTGAGGTCAAAACGTTAAGCAGTTTTGTTCATTTAGATATCTTCCTTCTTTCTTTCTTTCCTTCCTCCCTTCCTTCTTTGGGCAGTCTGAAACAGGTTACTCCATTCTGCTGCATGACTAGGCCTGTTCTGTTGATTAATTAAAAAAGAAAACACTGAGCATTATTTTACTAATTAAATTATTTCTAGTCAAACCTATTCTCTTAAATATTTCACTTCTTTCTCATTTTTAAATTATACTAAGCTACCACAACGTTACTTCTCAGGACATTAATATAAAGAACCAAATATATCTATATATTCAGAACAACCTGCTCTCAGAGCAAGGTTAAAACCATCAAATTACGAAGCAATGGCATCAAGGCTTAAGCACCTGGAACAAAATAACCACCTGTTACTTTCCAGCTTGGCTTTCATAAAGGAGAAAAATAGATTTTGCTCTAATAATCCTGGTTTTACTCCCGCAAAATTAGTCTTTTAAAAATTTTTTTAAAAAAGATAACCATCACAACTTTAAAGCTTATTGCCACTGTGAGTCCATCCACCTTGCTGCTGGTCATCCTCTTCTTCTCTTTCCTTCCATTTTTCCCAGCATTAGAGCCTTCTCCAGAGAGTTAGGTCTTCGCATAATGTGCCCAAGTAGGATAATTTGAGCCTGATAATTGAGCAGGAATAGTCTGCCTCAAATGACCTTGGGTTACTGGCACATGTAAGGAAACAGTGATGGATTTCTGTGGCAGGAACTTGCCTCAGTTTGGGTATAGCTTCGTAGTTTCCTGCTGCATGGAATTGTTCAAATCGGACATCATGTGAAATTATGGCTTCAGCATCTAAACATGCAACAGAAACAGCAGTCAAAATTGGTTTATTGCTCAATAGAACAAAATGCACCATGTCTGCTCCTTTTTCATGAATTAAGTGATATTTATTCTAATCCACACTTAGGGAGCCAACAAGATGTCTTTATTGCTGTGCAATTGTGATTGGATGTATTACTTGAGACTTTTTAATTTTCTTCAAACCAGTTTCATATTAAATACATTAAATGTCTTTGTACCCTGCTGCTTCAGTTGGTAGTATGAACC